CTTTTGGTGTACAAGACGATACTCCAACCAGCTGAGCCGCCCAGCCAGGGCCAAACTGTCAGTGTCCGTGGGCTTAAACATTTAATCCAAGAAGAATATTTACATTTTGGAAAATCTTGGATTAAAACTCTTGTAGGTACCATTAATTATAGGCTTTACTGGCATCTCAAACTTCCTGCTTACTTAGGCACCTTTTTGACACACTGGCATAGACTTTACTTTCAAAACAAAATATTTTCCTTTCCTTTCTTCACCAGGGAAAATTTAAGCCAGAAAGAGAAACTCCCACAGGCCAGTACAGATACATAGCAGTCTGAGAAGTGTCCACAGTGGTGTCTGTCTTTATAGGAATAGAATGAGTCAAGAGAGTAGCTGAATTTTGTCTTGCTTCTTTTTTCTTTAATGTATATGTGTGTATGTGTGTGTTTATTGATTTTAGAGAGGAAGGGAGAGGGTGAGAGAAATAGAAACATCAATGATAAAAAGTCATTGATAAGCTGCCTCCTGTACTAGGGATCAAGCCCACAACTTGGGCATGTGCCCTTGACCAGAATCAAACCTGGGACCCTTCAGTCTGCAAGTCGATGCTCTAGCCACTGAGCCAAACCGGCTAGGGCTGTCTTCTTAACGATATGGCTACATGCAGTTAATTGTATTTTATGTTTTAGACCCAATCTAATATGCCAAAACATGTTTACTCAAGTATAAAAGAGAGAAGAGTCAGTAATAGAACGGTCATGATGTGGTGGTTGAATTGTTGAAATTGATTGTAATTTTTTTTCAAGTTATGACCATAGAGAGTGGAACAAAGGGCACTGTTTTGGGTTTTGAGAGCAAAGCACTTCTCTTCACTTGGAAACCTTAAAATGGTTTATGTGGAGTATTTAAGCTCGATTGTGTCATGACTTTTCACCAGGATGTAAGCAACAAATCACACCTCCGAGTACCTAATGAAGTTAACTTGTTCAATGGAATTACTTACCTCAGTGGTCCTCAAAGTGTGGTAATCCTTAGCTTCATTTGAAGACTTGTTAGAAATGTGAATTCTTGGACCCTGCCCAGAGCTACTGAGAGATAAACTTGGGGGTAGACCCAGTCATCCATGTTTTGACAAGACCTCCAGATGACTATGATGTTCTCTCAAGGATGAGAAGCACTGGATTAGATTATCCATCTGAACATTAACAACAACAACAAACCCCAAACCACGAATGATGGTTTTGGTTTGTGGCCCTAATGGAATATAGTTCTTTCTGATAGTGATAGACCACGTGGTTTGTGTGCTTCTTGTGGCTTCTTCTGGAATGTTGTGAAAAGCCATGTCTTGTCATCAGTTACATGCTGATGTGGGTCTTCCTTTTTTGCCATGGCAAGACAATTCAGATGTGCAAAATAAAGAGACGATCCTGCCTGCTCTTTGAAATACTAATTTGTTTTTTCAGAAGGTTACTTTTTATCAACTTTGATTTTCAAAGTGACTTGTATGATTTTTCCTTTAGGAATTATCCTGTGAAGTAGAGATAGGAGAAACTGAAACCAATTAGTTACTGACAACGCAGTTCCATATATTAAATATAACAAGGTTACAAAATAAAATGAGGTCTAAGCATTGTAACCCAGTTTGCTTTGCTGAGTCTTGAAAATAACTGATGCTCTTTTATTTTCATTCATGATTATTAAGCTACATTTTCTATCATCATAAGGCTTAGTTCCTCCTTCAGATTCTGCCTCTACTTTTACCTGATATTGATAAAATTATTAATCACTCTAAGCTTCAGTTTCTTCATTTGTGAAATGGGACAATAACTGAATATGCCTAATTGTATAGGATTTTTGTGAGTAATAAATAAGATTAGACATGTAAAGAGTAGAGCTAGATAAATGTTAGCTGCTGATATTATTACTATTATTAGTACTATTACTATTACTACCACTTCTACTCCTGTGGTTAGCAGTGGATAACCTAGAGATCCATTTGTGAGGGGTCACTAATTTGTGCACCACATCTGTCTGTCATCTCAACAGGGGAAGATAAGGCTTCTCATTCTCTTCCTATGTTTTTAGTATTGCTGATATCATTCTGGATTACTCAAATATTTTGTTATTTCTTTCAGTTAATGAGTAATATTTGAGTGCCTACTGTTGGTCGGACACTAGCCAGCACATTCCTGCCCCTTGGACCCTTACAGCAGAAGGTCTCATTTGTTCAAATGCATGTCTTAATTAGTGTGGTCCTTTGACTGCCATGACCATTACCTCATCCAAGGAAGCACTGCCTACTTTGGAGTGAAACTTGGACTTGACTCCTGATAAACTGCTGAACTATGCAATGTCCTATCTGTGCAGTAGACTATGGATTTTCCTTAGTCTTAGTTTTTATCATTAAAATGTGAATAACAGAACATAAGTTATAAGGAGGTTTGAGGAGTAAGACAGTATTAATAAAGTGCCTAGAATAAGGTTGGTACTTAGTAGATGCTCAATAAAGGGTGGTTCTGCTTTTCTACCTTTTATCACTGTAGGCTGCCTAGAGAAACTGACAATAGTGAAGCAAATATAGTTGCCAGTGTTCTTTTGTTTCATAATAGATTCTTTGACCTTTTTTTTTTTTTTTTGAAATAAAGACATCCCCTTCAATGAATTGTTTTAAGTCGATTTTTAAAGCTTGTTATTTAGCATTAATCTGTGATGGGTCCCCAGCTTCCTGTGGGCAGATGTGGTAAGTTTTGATTAGTAATTCTCACATTGTTTGGTTTGTGCCATAAAATAATTTAAACTGTGACTCTTGGAAAAACACAAGCTAAGGCCATCGGAAAGCTAGAATACAAGTATATTTTTGGAGGTAGGAAGGGGATATTTAAGATCCCATTAAACTCTTTCCTTTCTCAGATCAGGGAAGATATTTGGAGGTGAAAGTGCCCAAGTTCACCTGACTCACCGGTGGTGGCATTGGGGCTTCCTAATGTCGGAGCTCATGCCCTCAGTGTCTGCTGATGTGCATGTTTTGGTCATCAGCTCATCACTAGTCAAGAAGAGCTGTCATTTAACAAGGCTTCTATTGTATAGTTGTTTACCTTCTGGGAAGTAGATCCTAGAAAATATATCAGTGCTTATATAATATTTGGCCCAATTCACAATCATAAAAAGCAAAATCAAAGAATGAGCTGTGGAAATCAAAGCACTCTTGATTTGGCCTTTTGGTTGTTGGTAGGAAAACCATCTTGGTGGAGTTATGATTCCTTAAGTTTATTTATTAGTGTCTGCTCCTCCGCCTGCTGCCTAATTGCAAATATACATTTTAGGTTTGTTTGTTGTTTTTTCATTAGGACTAAAAATTGATAGAAAAGATCAGTTAGAGCAGTGGTTCCCAACCTTTTTTTGGCCACGCCCCACCTAAGCATCTCTAAAATCCTGATGCCCCCCCCCTCCCGTGACATATAATTCTTATTCAAAAAGTGAGTTCCTATTCACGTGGAGGAAGCCTAAAAGGCCATTAACTTGGCCTCTAACAAGCTTCCAAAGGACATGGCATCCATGAAAGAGAAAGATAAAAAAGCGAAAGGACAGTTGAAGTGCTGAAGAGATCACTAAGAAATTGTTAAAAATAATAATAATAATATGAAGTGATATAAAAAATAGCAAATAAAGTTTCAAAACGTAATAGAGAACTGAAATGCATAAATATGTCACAATATATATTTATATACTATATATGAGGCCCCCAAAATCATAGAAATGCAAAAATTCACTGTTAATAACTCATTCTCGAATTGCGCCCTCCCCCCCTTAAAAATCAAATTGCCCATGCCCCATGTCGGGAACCACTGAGTTAGAGGGTGTAAATTAAGAATGACAAACATTACACCCTCTCTGAGAACAGAAAGATTGACAAAATACGTAGCCTTTGAACTCTCGGAATTACCAAAGCATGATAAGAAGTAAAACGTTAGACAAGCGTGAAGTAGTTTATAATCATTCTAATCGGTCATTAGGTTGGGCTGTGAGGGGTGGGAGTTCATACGAGGCTAAGGATGGCAAGGGTATGACATGTGCCTTGCTCTTAGTCTGCATCAGCAAACTGCTGCAGCTGCTTCCTTCTGAATTCCTGGAGCCTAAAAACCCTCAATACATGTGTCTGAAGGTCTTTGAGTTCAAAAATAATGTAAGAGACAATATCACTGAAGAGAAGGTTAAGAAATCCTGCTTGTCAAATTCCTTTTTCTTTACTGCGCTGGCCGTGGTCTGTGTGTGTGTGTACTTAGGCTTAAGATGCAATGGAAGTGGGTATCACTGCCTCCTTTCAAAGTTTAATTTGAAAATGTTTCCATCTCCAACTTCTCACTTACCAAGCTAAGCATTAGTTATCGCTAGTACTTTTCATCCAGAAGAATGTCAGAGCAGTTGGGTGGTTGTGTATTTTAGGATTCCTCTCCCACTCCTGGAGTGCATTGTGTGAAGCCAGGATTTAGGCCAGCAGTGTTCTCCGTGCCTCTTCTTCCCTTTCCTTTCAATGGCAGAAAATCAAGACTCTCTGCCTCTTGGTGGTCTTGCAGACCTTTGATGACTATTTTTAAAGCTTTGCTTGTAAGGAAAATTAGAGCTATTCTGAATAGCATGTATAGAGAAGCCACTCCGATCAGTAACTGCTGGAACCACTTTGGAAAACTTTGCCATGGTATTGCGATCTTAAGGGAAGAGAAAGATTACAAATTTTATTTTTACGTTCAGTGTTCTTTACAACTTTTTATTGTTTCTTCTTTATTAACAAAAAGTAATGTATCTATTGAAATTACTATTAGACATCAAATCACTCTTTGCTGAGCCCAGGGTACTTAACCTTTGTGTTTTTTATGTTTTGTGTTCAAAATAAAATGTAGCAATAATATACATTGCACAGAGAGGGAATAAAATTGCCACTTTTGATCTGTGTCCCATCCTGTGCAGCTTTTTCATAATTAAATGCTTTTTTAAAAAGTGGTTTGTGGCTGTTTGTGTTACAGGATCGCCCCAGGACATTCGACATGCACTCCCTGGAGAGCTCGCTCATTGACATAATGAGAGCTGAAAATGATTCGATGAAAGGTACTTTTTAACAATGTAATTATTTGATTTTAATGTAACTATTTGATTTTAATAGTTTAAAATTGAAACTATTAAATACTATCTACATAATCTAATCAACATGATGGCAACTATTTGGATTCATATTTTGTATCTGGTCAAGTCCATCAATTTTATGTATGTTGGACTTTTTGTTAAATATTTGATAATCACTGACTGTAGGCCCATCATGACATTAATTAAGAGAACTGCCAGAGTACTAATTGCTTAGGGTAGGCAGTTAGCTGAAAAGACCTGGACCGTACCCCTCATTGTTTTATATCTCAGGCAAAAACTGCTCAGTGCCTTACACCTACGTGTCTGACCCCATGACAGTGACGAGACACTAGAAAGAGTGCAAACGTTGGTAGATTTTTTAGCTTAGTTTCAAATTTTTAAAAAAGGCCAAGAGTTTCAAAGTTAAAAGGATGTTTTGTCATTCTTGAAATATTTCCTGTGTATTATGTTAAGGAAAAAATGGTGCTATTCCTGCTTGTCTCCATGCTGTTTCTAACTGCCTGTATTATCCTGAATATGACATGTAAGTTTGAGGAAACCCCAATTTCATCTTTATAGCAAGGGGTTTTGAATCACCCTAATAACAAGGACTTTAGAATGGGGAGCTTTAAAAATAATATATAAATACTGGGTCCCATCCCAGTTGATGTAGCCAGGGTTGAGAATGACCAGAATAGATGTTTCCGAAGGGCACTTCCCGCTCTGATTTTGTGAAAACTATTCCACAAAATAAATTTTTCTGCACAAATATATCTTACTTGAAAGTACTTGTTCTCCCACTTAAATTGTTTGTTCATTTGTTCGTCTGTTCGTTCGTTCATTCATTCATTCATTCAGTGTTAATGAGCCTGCTTTGTGCCAGACACAGCTTGCACTGACTGAGGTCAGAGGTGGCAAGACAGCCTATTGCTTCAAATGGTGACCAGCCTGGCCCAGTTTTTGTCTGTATTTTTTTTTTAATTTGGCTTATCATATTACTGATGCAGTAAAACAAAATACTTTTCAACAAATAAATAATGGTAAATTTTTTAATGAGGAAAGCTTTTTGAAGTCTGGAGAGATGACAAATAATATATATTTTAAAATGCATCCATCCGATTAGGTATGTTTGGAATAAGATAATTCGCAAGGTCTTCACTGATGTCCTGTGGAACTCTGCTGTTTCTGAGGAAAGAGGATATCATTCAGAATTGGCCACTTCTTAGTACTTTGACTTTCAATAGTCCTTCAGCCTCTTTGACTTTTCTTCTCATGTTCTCATCAGAAAAATGCAGTCTCTCAAAGGTCCTTTTAGACCAGGAAAAACTACCCTCTGAAAAAGTATCCAGAGGAGAAATCTGAGTAATGTCTGTGGATCGTTCCAGTGTCAGTTCCCTGCTTTTGTACTCAAGTGAGGACATAACCGTTAAGCCACAGTGGATGAAGGGTCATGGGACCTCTCTGTCCCACTTTTGGCAACTTGCTGCAAATCTATAATTATTTCAGGATTAAAAATTAAGTCCAGAAAAAGTAGCTAAAGGACGTTTGTTTATTCTTAATGTATTTGATTCCTTCAGCAATTTTTTATTTTTATTTTTAATTTTAATTATTTATTTATTTATTTATTGGTGGGAAGAGCCTCTTAGATACTAGTTACTAGGGCTAATACATTTACATTTCATTTTCATGATAAAGTGCCTATTCGTTTATTACAGAAAGCACAGTTTACAAACAGCATCACATATAAGCAGTTTATTTTGATGCTCAAAGAAGTAAGCCTCTAACTAGTATTTAGGTTAGATAAAAGAGTTTGGGGGGCATATGTAATACTGGCAGCAATCAATCAATAAAACAAGAGTCTGCGCACATTTTAGTAGTATTAGTGGCTATCAGATAGAGGCAGGACACCTCAGGTGATTTTTTCTCTCTTCTTGTTGAATTTTTGTGTAAAGTTCTGTCTTTATTTTAGATTCCCTTTTTAATATCCTCTAACCAATTTTAACCTAAATTAAGTTTCTTTCACTGATTCTGTAGGGGTAATCAAAATTTAAGTCTGATGACAGAAAAAAATTAAACTTGATTGGCCTCATCTGGCAGCATAAAGATTTTGGAAAGCTGACCTCTGAGAGGCAGTGTGGCAGAATGGAGTCACATAGATCTTGATCGGGATGGCCAGCCTGCCACCACGGTGTGATGCCGGATCTGTAAAATCCAGCTCGCTGCCTTATTCATGGCAGACACTCAATAAACAGTAGCAATTATTACTAACCATCCATAAAGCCTGTTATCATGCTTATCAATGAGAAAGCCAGTTCTGATTTAAGCTGAAGTGCCAAGGGGACTTAGCGTATTAAATGAACTTTGTGTATTGTTTCCTTCAAAGAGCAACACAGAATTCACAGAGGAGCTCATGGTCTTAAACTGCCGGGCTATAGTTATGCTTGGCATTTATATCTTTTTAACCAAGATGACGAACTTGATATCACTGTAGCCTATCACCACCAAATGGAATTTTGCTTGGGGAAATACTTTATTTCTCATCAAGCTCTCTTTATTAATTTAGATACCTGTTGGAAAAACCATGTGTGTTTTTCATTATGGTTCTGCTTGTTTTGTGAGATTTTAAAAGTAAAAATAAAAGTTGAATATTGTTAAAAATAACACATTGGTCTTTTAAAATAAAATATAAAACCTGACTATCCATTTTGAAAATAACCTCTCCATGTGCTATGCTTACTTAGCAACAGAGAAAACAGAAAACAGGCCTTAATTCTATGAGACTAGTAGAGAATGAAATGCCTCTCAGAAAAAACTCACTTAAAAGAATTAATTTGAGAATTAAAAATGGAACTCCCATTTGATCCAGTAATCCCACTTCTAGGACTATATCCCAAGAAACCAGAAACACCAGTTGGAAAGGATATATGCATTCCTATGTTCATTGCAGCACAATTCACCATAGCTAAGATTTGGAAACAGCCTGAGTGCCCATCAGCAGATGAGTGGATTAAAAAACTGTGGTACATCTACACAATGGAGTACTCCGCTGCTGTAAACAAGAAAGAACTCTACCATTTGCAACAGCAGGGATGGACCTGGAGAGCATTATGCTAAGCGAAATAAGTCAGTTGGAGAAATCACATGATCTCACTCATTTGTGGAATATAATGAACAACATAAACTGATGAACAAAAACAGATCCAGAGACAGGGAAGCATCAATCAGACTGTCAAACCTCAGAAGGAAGGCAGGGGAGGGTGGAGATAAGGGGGAGAGATCAACCAAAGGACCTGTATGCATGCATATAAGCCTAATCAATGGACACAGACACCAGGGGGGTGAGGGCATGAGCGGCGGGGGGGGGGGGGGGGGGGGGTGTGCAATGGGAAGAAAAGGACACATATGCAATACCTTAGTCAATAAAGAAAAAAATTTAAAGATAAAAAAAGAATTTAATTTGAGAATTGTTTTTAAAAAAGACTCCATATGGAGATAAATTTTATATTTGGTTTTATTTTTTATCTTAAAAATAATTCATAAAATATATTATAGTTGACCTCATTTATTTTTATCTTTCAATTGTGGTTCCTCATAGAAGTGCGATTTGTGTGTAATGTTTAAATAATACAGCTTTTATTTGGTACAAGAACTACAAGTAGAATGAATCGGTATGGCTCTCTTAAATTAAGAACAAACACAAACGTGCCTTTTCTTTTTTGGGGAAAAAAATCTCCTTTAATGGAGTGGGGTTTAAAATTTTTTATTTTTGTCATCAACAGATGGCAAAATGTTTAATATACCTAGGAACCTTCAAATATCATTTTTGAGTTTCTTTATGAATGCCTTACTGATTGCAACTGGCTTGTTGAAAACCTTTTATCTTTTTTAACATTTTAACACATGTGCAAAAGGAGTACCTAGCCTTCAGTTCATAGTTCCTACTGGCTTTTACGGTTTAGTTAAAAATAGCCTTTCTAAGAATGGTGGCTCCTATCGTCCTCCCCATGTACAGAGGTTTGGCCCTGGGAGGAAAAGGGTCCTCCCTCTGCCTTATCTCCGAGTCCTTGCTCTGATCGGCGGGCATGCCTGCGTGTTATTTTTATCTCGCAATTATGGATTGCCTCTCCCTTAACCCGTGGCCATCTGCAGGCGCTCCTCCCCAGAGGCGATTGCATTTTCCTCCCTGCACACCCGTCTCATCAGCGAGGAGCCCGGCCGCAGCCTGGCCTGCATGGTGGCCTCCCCGCTGGCAGCCTGTGCAGTCTCCAACAGTGTTAGGCTGACCGAGTGTCTCTCTCTAGCTGGACAGAAGGACGTTCCACTGTGGTGGATGTTCGGATGCTTATTTGCGGAATATTGCATCTTGCTGTTATTTGTGTTTTTTTCTCTCGCCTGTGAAATTGGTCCTTATTGTTTAGAAATGGAGCAGCGTGAAGGAGATTAAAAGCACATGTGAGCACATCTGTTTTCAGCCTCCTGAAAAATAGGCTGGACACAGTGAAATAAAGATTCATGAAGCGGTATTACATTCAGCGCGTGTAGGGGAGGCCTCTGCAACCAATGGCCTTTTTTTTTTTTTTTTTTTATCTTTCCTGGGTGTGAGGGAATAAAGGAATACAGGTATCACCAAAAGAGAGTAGTTTGCGGGCTGGAAGCAGAGAGGACGGCACCTGGAATCAAGGGACCAAAAAATAGCACTTGACAATTATCAGATGTCAGATGGAGTAAAACCATCCACACTTTCATAATAATGGCCGTGTGTTTAATATCCTATATATGAAAACAACTTCATATCCAGTTTGTTTCATTTCACTGGGAATCCAAATGAGACAGGGAAATTATTGGGAGAACAAAGGCAATCTATACGTTGTCAAAACCCTATAGTTGTGCTTCAGATATTAACTAAATTATGAGTCAGGGTATCATTTTATTTGCCCTCAGCATGTTGTGAGATTGGGGTCTTTTTCTTTTTATAATGTTTCAGA